TCCTTGTAGTTACAGGTAAGACAATTCAGTATTCCTGTAAATCTTATCTAATATTTTTTTTCTATTTCAAAAGAAAAGATATTTTTCTCATGTCTTTCTTCTTGGAGTCCGAAAACAAATGGAGTATTTGGTAGATAGATAGAAACTATTGTAAATAAGTCATCTTTAGTTTATCTTGGAACTTGCTTGAGTCAGTTCTTGAAATTGACCACACTTTCTCACGGAGATAAAAATAGACTTCTCACTCACAAAATGGATATCAATTTAAAAAACAAAACTGCAAGAAATACCAATTTTCAACTAATTATCATTTTTACAAAAATAATCTTTTTAGAAACAATATTTCCTAAAGTATACATTATCTTCAAGTTTATAAATAGGTATCACTTCTATATTAATGCATTATATCATTAATGTAATATAATTTACCAACTTTAAAAAAGCTTATTATGATATAAATTGTATTTGAACCAAGAAATAGTATTATGATTTGAACCAAGAAATAGTAAATAGATTACAGCAATATAAGCATTTTTTAGTTTGAAATCCAATTGAGTGAGATTCAGTATTGATTTTTAGCTAATAAAATAAATATAATGAGCCTTATTCAAAATCCTTTGAACTGATGTTTAAGAATTCATTGTATTTTTTAAGCTTTTGAAAAACCTTCGCTTCTACCTATATCTGGCTAGTACGCACATTTTCATATCCTATGATTTATTACCAAATCTTGAAGTGTATTTCCACAAAAAAGGAAATGAAAAGCATTGTCTTTACACTTGTATACATAACACTTTTTATTGATTTTGAAAATCAGATTATCTTACTTAGCTCATATTATTAATCAGAATATGGAAAACTCAGAACTGAAAACATTTAGACAAAAATTTGTAGTGTGGACAATGCAAACATTTGAGATGATTCAACTGTAGGCTGAACGCAACAAATTCAAGTAATTATTAGGTATTAAACACATTTCAATAAATTTAAAATTTTGTAATGCCTCTTTTTCAATACTTTTGTGATGAATTGCATGGTTTTCTGACTGTAAAGCTTATTTTATACACTCATTCAAAATGTGATGCAGACTGAAATGAAAGATTTCATAATAAAAAGTATGTCATGATTATAAGATGTGACTGAAAGTGTAAACGCCAAGAGAAAAATTTGAAAACATTTTAGAAACAATTTGTATTTCAAGTTATTTGCTTAAAATGTACTTAGCACTTATGTTTATGGCTGTGTAGCTATCAATAATTAAATACAATATCTAAATGAAATAATAAAATCTTTCACTATTCTGACATCATTAATATTATTTTCTCCTCTTGATGAAATTATCTCCAAAGCAAATTTACTTTCAGATAGTAGGTCTCACATGCAGTGTACGCTATTCTACAACATCGTAAGAACATTATTCTGTCATTTCTGTAATACAATTATAGCTGCATCTGTACGGTACTAAAAAGATGGTGACTAATTGTGGAGGTCTTAAACTTTGCTGTCTTCTATATCTTTAGCTTTCTGTGTCATGTACACGACACAAAAGTATTTTCCAATATGTCCATCATCTCTGCCTTTGTTTCCTATTTTTATATCTGAAAATGTACCATCATTAATGTGTAACATAATAATAAAAACAATCACATGGCTTATGGAATTTTCCATCCATCAAAATGCTACTTCATCATTGCTATCATTTGCCTGTACTTTCATTGGGAGCTCTGTTCTGGTTCTAGATTGACACTGCTGTAACAGCAAGAATCACATCATTCTAGGGCTAACAGTGGCCTGAGGAAAAGATTTGGTTCCATGATATGATTATTTATCAACCAGTATTGTTTAGAGTCAAAGTCATTGGTCCACTGTTTTTTAAAATTATCATTATTATTTACACAGGGGTTGTCATAGTCCTCCACAGATCTTCAACCATGAATATGACCCAAGCAGAAAACATGAAAACACAATTCACAAACAAAAAGACCAAATTAGACAAAGTCTTTGTAAAACAGTTTTTGTCAAGCTCCTTACCTGGGACTCAGTAACAAATCATGAACCAAGGTGATGTTTCTTACACCTATTAATGAATATCATAGTATAAAATCGAGTGTTCATAGACACTATATACATTTCACAGGGAAACCTAAAGTCTTCCATCTAAAAAACATAAATTGAGTTCACAAAAATTTGAGTATTTAGCCATGCTTGATTAAAGTACAACTAGTGAGTAAAAGCAGTTTTCCAAATTTTCTCTTCCCCGCCTCTGCCATAAGTATAATTGTCAAATGAACAGTCTAAGCTGTATCCACATTTGTCTTTCAGGGAGCCATTCTACCACCTTTGTAAAGCAAAATAAATTTTAGAAGAGAGATGTTCACTGTTCTAGCACTTGATATCAATTGAAAAACAATCCAACAATGACAACTACTTAGTATCACTTGGATCTGGCATGAAAATCACAAACAAGCACTTTACACTTCTGTAATCCGGGCAGTGGACACTGGCAGGGCAAAAACAACAATTGGGCAGTGGTATGGCATTTAAAATTCTATTTTCTCATAGAAAAAGGCTGGCTGTCTTTTAATGAGAACAATTAACTGCAGTAATTTCAATTTAATAAAGTTTTGATTTTTTCCCCTTCTTATCTTAAAAAGGCCTGGGCTGATGAAACATCCCCCTCCCCCTCTTCCACCCAAACTTAACTAGGAACCAGCTCAGTCAGACTGACACCTAATGGAAACTTTTATAAGAAAATAACTCTGCAAGAAAAGAAGAAAACGAACATCTAAGTAGTTAAACCACTTGAACCCTCCCCTCCCCACCAAAAAAAAAACTTTTTGTGGACCATGAGTAGAGTTTCCTTTGGACTTCATCGCTAGCTTTTTGAATTATTCCATTCTAAAAACTATTATCACTCATTTACGAAACAACTGCAATCATACGCTGAAGTGCCTTTACCAAAGAACATAAGGAAATAGCTTATTTTTCAAAAGTTCTTCATTCTTTCAACCAATGTTAGAAGACTACATCTTTCATTTCTCACAAATCCCATCCATAGGCCTCCAGTCTCTGCCTGCCTTCAAACACTACACGCTTACTACTGAGCCAACCAGATGAGGCCAACTTTCCAAAGAGCACCTAGGAACTACATTATGTACCTTCTCTTGCTTTTCTAATTTCCCAGTGAAACAATGCCACCAGTAGACATACTGCATTTTATACAGTACCTACCAAGCACAATATTTAAAAGCTCTTAATCACCAACTGGTGGATCCCTATCGAAAGAAGGAAATTCATGGAACAGTGAAGGCAAGGAGTTACATCTTCCCTTGCTAGTGTTTGGTAGAATATCAAGTGCAAAGATAGCATCTGTGTTTTCTTTCCGACTTCAACTCGCTCTTAAAATGGACTCGCCCCCGAGAGCTTCTGAGAAGGGCCCCACCCATTTTCCCTTGCAGACAACGTCCCCTAAGCGCAAAAGCTGTGAGTGTAGATACCCAGAGAGTTAACAGTGGGATAGCACCCACTGGGGTGAGAACAGGGATAGACAGAGGAAGCGCGTGGAGCACCCCTCATTGGGAATCCTAAGACCTGGAAGACAGGCGAGACCCTAGGTGGGAAAGTAGGAGTGTGCCTGCCTCCTTCAGGGTGCCTCGATCCCAGCTTCTCCAGGGTTCAGACTGCTCTTGTGGGCAAGAACCCAGAAGGGCAGCCGCAAAGGCCCATTCTCCAGAGGGAACGTCTGGGGCGCAACCCGGCTTATACTGGGCTCCGGAGCGCCGCGAGGGAGAGCTTCGTAGGCTTCTACTTCTGTGTTATTTCTCCTGTAGCTTCGACTTCTCAGGAATTCAGTCCTCGCAGCTCCTGCACAACCAGGCAAAGGCCACCACTCAGGGAGGAAGCCTCTTGGCGCGGCTCCCGTTGCGTTCTGGTCCTCCGCGATCTCTCCTCCCACCTTTGAAGCGCCACCGCGGGATGTTGTTCCAGAGCCTGGCTCCGGGGAAGGCGAGTTGGTGGTGGGCGCCAGCGAGAGCGGAGTGCTGGAGCCCCAGCCTCGCGCCGCGCCTTCAGCTGCCGCGGGACCAGCGTCCCCAGCTCCATCTCGGGCATCTCAGCCCTGCCGCGTCCGGTTGCCCCAGGGAGTGCCCGGTGTGCTGGAGGGGCTCAGTGGGCGGTTGCTTGGTCTTCGCTAGGAGGGGACGAATCCGGATTTTTTTTTTAATCGTCCATTAATATTTGAAACAAAACCTGGAAGCAGAGGAGGGAAAGGCTTTCTCTTCCTCCCATCCCTTCGCAGCGGACCTGAGAAGGGGGGACGTGCCTTGGGTATGTTGGTGTTTGAGACTCATCCTAAATGAGGCAGAGGCAGGGAAGACAGCGCTAAAGAGGTGTCCCAAAGAAACTGGACGTCTGAACAGTCACTGCCTGCCCCAACCTCTTTCAGGAAGGTTCCAGCTCCGCGCCACATTGCAACCAATCCGGTTCCCATCCTGCTGTTCCAACCCTTCGCGGAGAATCCGAAAAGGAAAAGAGGGGCTTCTGGGAGAACCGCCACACTTCCAACCTGGAAGTTCCGCGGGGACGCAGTCCCCGGCCCCCGCCCCCTCCCCAGCCGGGGCTGCAGCGTCTGGCTGCGGAGTGGTGCGGCCGGCCGGGGGTGGGGCTCCGGCGCCGCCCCGGGCCCGGGATTCGCGAAGTCACCAGCCATCCTCGGCGAGCGAGCTGGGGGCACCTGCGCCCACGGCCACGCCCTTTCTGCGGAAGCAGCCCCCAGCGACCCTCTTCCGAGCTCCTGCTCCTCGCTCGCGACGCTGCCAAACTGCTTAAGGCCTTTCAATCATTCCCAAGTTTAAAGGCTCGCCCAGTGCGCGCCTCTCCGCCTGCCGCACCCCCACCCCCCACACGCACCCCCAAAGGAGGCCAGCCAGCGGAGGTGCGGGAGCGTCCCGCAGGCGCGGCGGAGCAGACCCCGGCCTTTCCCCGCCCATCCCCCACCCCCCACCCTGCGCGCACCCATTTTACAGTCCCGGCTACCACAAGTGCGGCGCGCAGCCTTCCTGGTGGCCCCAGCGCGCACAGACCCGAGGAAAGGAAAAGATCAAAAAGTGCTACCTTGGCAACCGCGGGCGCTGAGTGGCCAGCTGGTGGGCTGGGAGGGGCGGCCGCTGGCGGCCTGCCGCTGGTACTCTCCTCGACTACGCGTATTCTTAAGCAATAACAACGTAATCCGTATTATCCACCCAAGAATACCCGTCACCGAAGAGAGTCAGAGGACCAAGCTGCCGCTGCCGCTGCTGCTGCTGCCGCTGCCGCCGCCGCCGCCGCCGCCGCCACCAGAACTCTTGCTGCTGAGCCCGCCCCTGGCTGGGGCTGGGCTGAGCTTGACCGGGACCATAAATCCATAACTCGATTTCCCTAAAGAAGGATCCAAAGCTGTGCTCGGCTGCTTCCTGCTCAAATCCAAATGGCTGCTCTATTTCCAATTCTGAAAGACAAATCACAAAACGAACACTTAACACACAGGGAGAAGAGTGCTCTCTTCCCAGCGAGAAGGGACTATGTGGCGAGGCTCTTTGGGCATAGGGTGGGAGTGACAAGGGACCTTCAGTTTACCTGGTGTTCTCCCACAGCCTTCCTCTGTAGCTGCTCTGCTTGGAACCCACTCTGGTCTCGGCCAGCCCACCTAGGTACTTTGATTGAGTGTCATGGCAGCGAGAGAACCCTGTAAGAGACATGCATAGTTAAGCACACAAATATTACAAATGTATTTGCCTAGACGGCTTTAAGAAGAACTAAGGCTCAAATAAAGACGGGGTCATGCATGGGTGAAATTTTCAGCAGTGTGATTTGGAAACGCATTTTTCTCAAGCCCAAGATCACAGAAAATAAACACTCATTCAATTTACTACTTGAAATCAAATACTTATAGATCTACAAAAATAGACATCTCTCCTTTGAAGGCCTTAGAGCTATATACAACATAATGATTTTTAAAGAAAAAAAAAGGCTTCAAGGCACAAAATAATTAAACTAATTTTCCATAGTATCAGAACTTACTGAGTTGACAAGCTGGCAGCATTTCTGTGAATTAAGCATCATTTTGTAGTGCCACAATGTTTAATCTCACAGCCCACCTTTTTAATATACAGTGTAATGCATTGCTGTTCAGCTGTTGTGAACACTTCTACAGGAAAACCTTTGAAGCTCTTTCCTCACAAAAATTTATTTTAAGAAGAAAAACAGCAATAAAAACTCATTTCAAAGTGACTGTAATTTTGGTATTAAGAGAGAGAACCTCTGTGATTCTTTGATGATCAATATGGCTCTTACTGGAAAAGCTTTGTCTTAAGACCCTGCAGTGGATCTTCTGATAATAGGGGTTTATTGTTCACTAAATAAAATGGACAAGTGCAACGTCACTACCCAAGACCGTTTGTAGCTCCATTAGAAAGTTCTCAATTTGCTTTCCCCTTTACTCTCAAAAAGATGTAAGTACATCCATGTGAGTGGAATAGGGAGAGAATATGGAAAGATGGCAAAAGACATTATGATTTCTCAAATTATGTAAGTGCAAATAGCTCTTCATCAAGGAGTAATTATATAACCGAATCTCTCCCACTACCACAACTCATTTCTAACTGACCTGGTTGCAATTTAAGGCACTTAGGTTGTTCTTGTTCTTATAATTTTTTTAAATAACACTTCTCCAAGCACACCAACTCATCATTTTTCCTGACATGTTACTAACAAATGGAAGAATCACCATGAATTCTAGGTTTTATGAACAGATGTTTAGTATATAATGTCTAATGCCTAAAATAACTCAAAGGAAAAACAGCATTGCCTAGTTACTAGCCTATTTTATATTATTTCCAGGTAACTCTTAAATACACCATTTACAAAAAGACAGATGCCAACTAAACAAATTAATAAGGACTATTTTCTGTTGTTATCTAACATAGCTATAAAGTGAAGCTTTTCTCTGGTGCTACAACCAAAAAAAAAAAAATTCAGAAAGCTGACAGGTTCTCTTCAGCTTGAACTCCTAGAAACAAAAGCCCTTAGGGAAAGTAATGCAATAGTCTATGAGCAAAGTGTGCATTTGCTTCTGAACACTTCCATTTAAATCTCAACTAACATGAAAAAGGAAAATAGGAAACATTATACATACAGGCTTTGATTTACTAAATGGAATGTTTTAAATTTAAAAGGGTGGTCACACACTCACATACGCACACACACAAACGGAAAGCAATACACGATGCATCAGAATCACAGCATAAATACCCACGCTTTTCAATGCTTTCCGAGTTTAGTTTTGCTTCTTCACAATCAAAAGAAAATACACATACACACATACGCTCTGACCCACGGATGCACATGCTTTAAGAAACTAGAACAGCGCAGTTGATGGGCTTTTTTTTTTCTACCCAAGTATCAGTGCCAGCCCTTACCCTACCTACCCAAATGTTCCACCAGCTTCAGCACCTGGACCAGTGGACAGCTCATCCCGGCTGACTGCCGGCAGCACTTGCAGCAGAACTGACGCTCTGAGCTCTAACCAAAGCTCTCTCGTGCTTCAGCGGGGCAGCCTGACTTACGAGAACACCATTTCCTACGAGACCACTGCCGCTGGGTGCATATTCAATTCAAACCTCCTTAAGCTGTCGGATTTCCCCCACCCATCTACCCTCCCCCCCCTTCTCCACCCTCCACACAAAAACAGAAAAGGGAAAAAGCCCAGTACCATCAGGGCGTTTGTTGATCAACTTACACTTTGCTTTTGAATATTTAGATACCGCTAGCGGAGCAATATCAGCAGAGGCTTAGGACCGCATTAAGTACCTTTGTTCATCGACTCCTGCAAGCCATGTTTATTAGAATCTACATTTCTCTCGCGCCCCAATAACTAGAGGTGTGTTTTGCGGGCAGGGGGCTTTCATCACCTTTTGATCTCTAAGGCCACCGCGACTGACTGCTGGTCCCCCACTACTTTCCTACCCTATCCCCCACACTCCGACACCCATCCTAGTTAAACGCTTCGTAATTTGCAACCAAATACACATAAAGAAACGCGACAAAGCAATCGGTTTGAGGAAATAAGCCAATTAAGCTAAAGCAGAAATGCCTCTCTCTCTCTCTCTCTCTCTCTCTCTCTCTCTCCCCCCTTGACTCCCTCCCTCCCTCTCTCTCTCCTTCCCTCTCAAGTAGAAAGGGGGAAACACTAAGGAGAGGGAAAAAATCGGGAGGAGGGTGGCAGTCGACTCTTAGAATCAATGCAAAAACACTATACACATTTTTCCTGAATAATACTCTGCTTCTCAGACAAAAAGAAACACATTTATCGATGTAAACATAGTCTCCCTCTCCCACACATCCTACATCCTTTACGTTTGCTGAGATTTGTCTTGCGGTATAGCAAAGTAACTGTCACAAATCCATCTCGATTGAAGTGCTTACCCTCTAAATCCAGGTTTCAAGCGGAACTCCAACTGTGTGTAGAAGCCAGGGAGTCATCTGATGTGCGGTGAGGTAGGCTGTGGGCAGTGGGAGCTGCTTCCCTCCGAGTGCCGGGTTACAGTGTTAACAAGCCCTGGGAAGGGACCTCGGCGCCTCGCGCTGGCTGTGCCTCAGTGCCTTCCCGTGGTGGCGGCTTGCTCACGCTTCCGAGGAGTCCCAGGCGATAGCCTTCAGCTGATGAGAGCTTCCAGAAAGGAGTGGGGAAGGGAAAAAAAATCATCTAATGCAATCAAATCGATCTGATCTACACCATCTGTCGCCTGCCACTATACACAAACGTTAAAATAGGAAAACGGAAAACACTGACAGCCCGAGAGGGTTGGTCTGCAAAGAGTTCATTTTTAGCAGAGCATAATTGGGTATGGTCGGCATACAGTTACAAAAGCTGCTGTTAACCATCCAGTAGTGGATCCCAAACATGCTAATGGTGGATTAATTGAGGAAGATCTGACGTGCAAGCTTCATAGTCTCTTATTCATGACTTCCCAATGGGAAAGGACCAATGCCTTGTGGGACTTGGTAACATACAGTCAAAAAGCTGCTAAGAAAATGGCTGTGTGTTCACAGCACCTCTCTCTGATAACAAACATATGTCGACTAAAACGGTTTAGTAGAATGGGAGGGGGGTGTCAGAGAATAAATTTTTCTTTTCCCATGTAAGTGATCCCCATCTAATTTCCTTAAAGAAAAGCAAAAAATAGATACCACATCTTTACTATGGTGGTGGGGGGGTATTTTAAAAGGTTTTTATCAAGATCAAACTCTGCCATATAAAAGAAACAGAATGCTCCTGTGCAGCAATTCTTAAAAAAAATCTATTATCATTTTTTTCCTTACTGTGATCAAAGTCGATCCCTAGCATGTGCAGTATATAGAAACTCAGCCCAGTTAATCCCACCAGGATTGACTCGAGGTTGTTTAATGCCAGTACCCTTTTGACTTCTGGAAATCAGAATGCCTTTTGGGCAAGGCATTTTGTATCATTTAAAATTGACATAATGAACATTAAATGTGATTGCAGTGAGGAGATGGGGAATATTTTTTTTAATTCCACAATTACTCCCTCCAGCCAAAACCCCTTTTGGTCTGTTTCCAGTCCTTCCTGTTTAGTTGTTTGGAGAGATTACCGATGGGGGAGGGAGTGAAGACACTGAAGGGAAGGGAGAGTGGACGATCAATAGCCAATAAATTTGATTTCATCTAAAACAAAAATACATGGTAATGAAAGAGTGATCACTTATGTATTGTTGATCATGATATTTACATAGAAACTAGTTTTTAAGATTGATGTTTTCTATGTAGAAAGAAAATATATTACAAACAATAGGGTGACTATACCCTACCCATTAGCAACTATAAGATTTTAAAAAAGGAATATAGGAAGAGTTTAATATCAAGATATGTGACATTCTTTTATAATCTATCCTAAATATTTTACCTTTCCTCTGATTTTTCATCCATTTAAACACTGAAAACTGTGTTCATTTTTATTTTCCAGCCTTTTTGTGAGAACATGCATTACATAAATTTTATAATAAATAATTGGTGTTTAGGATAATTTTTGAGATCACTGAATGGGCCTCCAGAAACTTTGATAATCTCTTTAAGAAAAAAAATTTCATAACCATTATGAATTAGATTAGTCTAAAAATATAGCTTGAAGACAAATAAAACAATTTACCTGATCTTTTGTTTCAATATACATTAATTAAGCACTCTTTCCAACCTACACAACATTCCAGGGTCATAGTCAGAAATCCAAGTCTAATAGCTCAGCAGCCTTTGTTGTCATTCGTGTCAAGCTATTGCCCCCTGCAGGTTAGGTTGAACCTACAGGCAGAATTTGGCCAACTCAGAAAATTTATGATAGTCACGCTATTCAGCCTCTCCAAATATTTAAATAGAGTGAACTTTTTAAGTTTGTTTTCATCATGGTTTAGACAGTTTATTTTTGAAATAGCTAGTAAAATCAGAAAAGGTTGCACATTAAAGATATATGATTTCAGTTTTTCTTATGAGAGCCTAGTTGGATGGCACAGATCACCTAGTTTGTTGTGATACTCAGAGCACCTTCTTGTACCTAATATAGTTTTCTTGCCCCATTTTCACAGTATCCAGCAGAATTTAAAAACAAATATAATAAAATTAGAATTATCTCTCAATAATAAAGATATTGTGCCAGGCAATTTACCATTTGATGTCAGCATTCTCTTGGTAGACTCAATGAAGTACATTCACATCAAACCCTTTTTGATTCTTCCTACTGCTGATATGATGGAAACAATTGCATTGCTTTTCTTGATTATAAGATGAAACATTATTTCAACCTTCTTGCCACTGCTATGCCATCACTGTTTCCAAATAAGCCATCTTGCCAAGATGAAATAAATTTATAATTGATGGAAGAGTAATTAAACATCAACTTTTCCACCTTTTTAGAAAATGGAGCTAGTTTATGGAATTTAATGTTTATAGGAAGGTTCTTTTATATTTTGGAAGTCAATGATGTGGCTATTCACACTGACTTGTAATGCAATGTATTTCCCTATTATTTAAATTTACATGTCATTGAGCAACAGAATATCATTATGCAAAATATCATGAATTCTAATGCCAAATTAACAACCAGTAAGATTTTTACCCAGTCAAATGTTAGAAGTATTATATCAACATTGCATGGAAATAACTAAAAACAGGAATTGCATTTTGTTACCTTAACGCTATTCTGCCATTCTCACAAAAAACTTAAATAACAGTTAGCGGCAAGACTCACAGCTCTTTAGGGAGGATCTTTTTACACTAACCCACTACCGTTTTTTCCAGATACTTCAGAATGGACACATGGGATTGGAACTGGGGATAACTGTATTGTATTTTAAACAATACCAAAAACAAAGTCACAAAGATATTTCAAAGCATGAATGCCTCTCCCTATTCTATTACAATTTAAAGTATGCTGTTACCTTTCAAGAGTACACTGCTTCTACAGGTGAACATCTTTACCTCTGTAATTCATGAACACTTCTGCTCCAAGATTACAGCAGACTAGGCTGTTGGGCTACAATTGTTCAAGCACCTTGTAGCCAGAATAGCAACTGGTTGCCTGCAGCTGACAATTCTGGTTGTCTTTGAATGGGTGCTATTACAGGAAAGAAAAATCATTTTCCCTTCAAAATCATATATCATATATGTGATAAGGGTATACCTGACTGTCATCTTCCCTTCAAAATCATATATATGATACGATTATACATGATTGTACATACAGAAGAACAGTTATTGAACCAGAAATTTTCAACTATCTTGATTCAAATGCCTGTCAAATATCTATGGACAGAGTTGCTTTTAATTAGCGTCTAGAAGAGAAAGATGGTGTCATTTGACCTGTGCCTCTGCAAGGAGGTGGTAGGACTTTTGTGTTCTTCCCTATAGGATGCAGCAGAGCGCTCACAAGTGTCCTGAAAAACATAATTCTATTCCTTGTACTATCACCAGTATTTTTCTAATTGTTTCTAAAGAATCAGAACAAGATTCCAGAAACCCTGTAATGCTGTGATTGTCGGAGTCCTGGATTATTAACCATTCTTAGCCTTAGAAGCCGAAGACCATCCAATTCTATTCAAATGCTTTTTATGACTCAACTCAGTCTCCATGTGTGAGAATACGTGTGTGTTGTGTGAGAGTATTAGTGACAGGTGTGTGAGGATGTGTGTATGTGTGAGTGTACGGAGTGGCAGTGTATGAGGGTGTGTGTGTGTGTGTGTGTGTATGGGTACGTGTGTATGTGAGACCCTGTGTGTGTGACAGAGAAAGAGAGGGAAGGAGAGAGTTCATTCTGAAAGGCTTATGATTCCAGAGGTTTTCAAATGCAAATAGGGTGGGAGTGGTGGCAGCGCTGGAGCTCGGTGTGTGGGTGTGGGGGATTTGGGGAGAGGGTGTCGTGGGCAGTAACTTTATACAAATCCAAGGCCATCACTCCCACTCGCAGAGCAAAGCAACTTAGGTCTGAGAAGCCCCTTAGAGAGACACAATGCCTGTCTCCGTCTAAACCGCGGCGAGCCAAAGCAGGTCCCGATGCTCCCGCAGTTTGGAGAGAGGACTTGGAGCACCGCGGGCGGCCAGTCCGCGAGGGCGGGCCCTGGGGCTGCACTCTCGGCCCAGCTCCCACTCCTGTGACGCCCCGAGCCGGCCCAGGCTCCGCTTCAGTCCCCGCCAGCGCCTGCTGGGACCCGGGGCCTCCTCTGAGAGTAAGGGAGCGAGAACTCAGCCTCCAGCCGGGATCGCAGATGGAGGCGAGGAAGCAAAAGCGAAGGTGTGGTTCCACGGGGCGCCCCCAAGCTACCGGGCAGGCCTGCGCTGAGCAGCCTCGGCGGCGGGGCCGGGACCGTGGCGGCGGCTCCCCCAGGTCCTCCGGGATACTGGGGGCAGCGCTCGCCTCCTAACGCCGGGGCCCAGAAGGCTGCCCGTCGAGGCCCAAAGCGACCTGGGCTGGAGGCCGGAGCGAGACGCGCGGCGCCGTGGGACTCGGGAGCCGGGGTAAGGCAGAGGCTCAGACCCTGTTTATGGAAACGCCGGACTCCTCAGGACTCGTCGAGTCTGAAACAACTCCGGGAAGGCTCCGCGGGCTTTCGGAGAAGCCTACTGTGTGCTCACCCTGTGGGTCTCTCTGAAGCCCTCGCTTTCCTTTCCCGGGCGCTCCCTTTCCCAGCTCTGCCACCCCGGCCACTCAGGCTGCGCCCGCGGAGCCTGGAGAAGGGCGAAGGAGCCCCCTGCTGGCCAGAGGCAGCAGGCGCGGCGACCGCTTCCGCTTCCCTCCGCCCGCGGCGCGGCCCCGCCCGGCCGCACCTCGACCCGCCCGCGCTCCAGCGCCCGGGCCCGTTAAAGAAACAGAAAACAAAACAAACACACACAAAGCGCCACCACCCACCCTCACCTCGTCAGCTGCTCGAAGGTAAGTGTAAGTTCAGCCTCTTCCACGCTCCGCTCAGACCTTTCTCTGGGTTGAGGTCTGGGGGAGAGCAGAAGGTGGACCTCCTCAGAAATCACGGCTGCTTTTGGAAAAACACGTCTTGCAAGCATCAAGCTCACACACACACACACACACACACACGCACACACACTCCACACCCCACTCAACCTAACCCACACTTACCAGTCCGCAAGAGGGCTGCTGATGTGTCTGCTTCTGAAGGCATTTCATTAGCCATGGGAGGAAATGTGGACTAGTATTTCAGGTTGGAGAAAACAGCAGTAGTCAGGGAACTGGTACGGGAGGGACGAGGAGGAGAGTCCTGTCAGTTTAGCCCGCCGTCCCCTACCTGCGCCCGAGTACTACTTTCAGCCTTAAACCTTAGCGTGGGCAGAAAAGTTTTTCATCCTTCTGAGACGGAGAGCGCGAGCTTGCGACTCACCCACCTCCTGCGTCCCTCACCTCTCACTAGGAAAGTTGGCAAGGGATTGTTTTGTATATCTAGAAAATTCATGAGTTAGTTTTGAAATCGGTTTAACCTTGCACTAAGCTCTGGACTCCGGGTAGCAGTTTTTCTCTGTTCTTGGGAAAAGATGGTTAGAAATCACAATGTTCCCAGTCAAGCACACTCCAGTGAGAGATGGGCAGGTTATCTTCTTATTGCGACTTGTAGTGAAATCTGTTGACTCTGAATGGCTACCGTCTTTGGGGAAGGGTAGTTAATTTTTTTTCTGCCGAAAGTTTAGGCCTTCAGGGTAGACAGCTCCAATGAAGGATCTACTTTCTTCTGCTACGCTCTTCTGGAGACCGAAACTGAGGGGTTTTGACTGTATCTGAAGTTAGTTTGCAATAGGCAAGATCTAGGAGAGGATCTTTTAAAATCACATCTGTTTTCCTGTTTGGCATTTTCAAGTGGATGTCATAATCTTTGACCTACTATTAAGGAAGGGAATGAGGCTGATATGGAGACGGATCTGGTATCTGTTCTTTCTACGGCAAGCCAGGAGATCTGAGCATGTCATAAAGACTTACAGCTCCTCCTGAGGATGAAATATCAATTATAATAATAAGAACTAACATATGTTGAGTGCTTCCTCATTGCCAAGTGCTATGCTGTGGCCTTTTATTTCATCACTTCATCTATTTCTCACTGTGGGCCAATGGAGTAGCTACTATTACAGTTTCTCGTTTTCCAGAGAAGGGAAAACAAGGCCCAGAACGGTTTACTTGCTTGACCAGCGTTGCCACGCTGGGTGAACAGAATAGCAGGGATGTCTTGACAAATTAGATTTATTGTATTTAATTGACTGATAATACAGGGAAAAAAGAAAACATGATATTTTTTTTCTAGAAAGCATTTAATAAGAGGGAAATCATTTCTCTGTAGAATGCTTATCATGAATTCCCTATCCCTGTTCCACAGATGAGAAGACTGAGAATGAATCACTTAGCCACCACAGCACACGGCACAGGCAGGCCCGAAAGCCAGGTTTTCTGATTCCTGTTTCTCTATCCATTCCACTTGGTCACTGAAACCCAGAAAGATCATTTGTTTTTCTCAAAATATGAAACAGTGGATCACGAACAGCACAGAGCTGGTATTTCTTGGTGAAGATTTCTCTCACCTTAATTGTGAGCACCTTTTTTATACTGAAAGGGTGTAAATGTGGAGATAGTGCCATTCTCAGTGGTGAATCAAATGACATAAAAATGGCACAAAACTAAAATAACCACATCAACTTTGCTTAAAATTCATTAAAGCTGTTACAAAGATATCGGAAAGGCCTATCTTGATACAGTCTTAGTGTTCTCCATCTCCAAGAGCCTTCCTAGCCTACTCCAGCAAAGCCAATTCCACCTTGCATGTCTGCTGGCTTTTGTTCGTAAAGCGGTTTAACACTGACAAGTTTTCAGTGCTTTTCATCTCCATTCAGATATTTACTTCTTCTTTGTAGCAGTGAATGATTACAGTAAAAATGTCTAAACAACCCTGGGAGTGGCCACTTTAATGGAAAAAAATATACAATATTATTGGGCCAAAGATTTTTGACTGGCATCCACATTTCTGTGTATGCTTTTGATGCACTGAAGTCTGTTGTACAAATAGACTTATCCTGTGTGTGTACAGTTAGCTCAGGTCCAGAATATGCTTCATAAAATGGTCTTAGAGTGCCTTCATTTCCAGGAGGGCTCAAAGTATCAGAGAAAACCAGATGAACTGCCTTAAGTCACTGATTGGACTGCAGCCCATATGTCTCAGCTTTCTTTCTCAGTCATTTGTGTGCAAATTATTTGGCCACATGGCCTCCTGTCATGTTGGGGATCTGTGATTTTTCCAAAGGTTTAATTTAGTGGAATATGATTGTGAATGTCAAGTTGGGAATTTTCTCCCTCCCACCTCTCATTAAAAACCCTTCGTCTCAATATCAGTTCAGAACTATTGTGGTATATAATGAAGCTAGCATGTCTGTGTGAATTTATACCATAAATGCTTTCATAGATTTTTAGGCCTAAAGGGCTTTTTGAAATGATATAGTCTAACCTTTTTATTTTGCTGATGTGTAAACTGATGTTCTCAAAGGTAAAACAGAATTTTCAAGGCCACCCACCTAGTCTGGAGAATAATGAGTACGGGATCCCAGATTTTCTATGTTCAAACTCCAAACCAACTGCTTTTTCCTAGCATCATACCCCTTGTTTGATTGTCAGAAATTCAAACACTCATTCAACACTGGTTATTGGCATGAACTTGGCAACTGTCCTAGGTATTAGGAATTCAGCCGAGGAAAAAAATAAAACAATCTTCAATACGGCCTTCATTTGTTGAAGCTTATATTCTAGTGGTAGAACTGGAGAAAACCAAATACCTGTCTGGACGAAGGCTGTAAAGACATTTTTCTTAAAAAAGAACAACAAACTTCTGATGTGTCATAGCATGCATAAGGCAGACAAAAAGATGCTTATATTCTTCTGTATTTCCTGTTAAAGAAATGTTGGGGCATCCTTATTGCCAGGTAATGAAATCAAGGAATAGACATTAGTCAATGGAGATAGCAAACCTTAATCAGATAAATAGTGCTCTTGCAAATGGTCCATTCATGGATCGAGGATGACTCTCCCACAAACTTTCAGTGAGTTGGAGATTAACTGCCTATGAGAAAATATATACTTGTGCAGGAGTCACGATAAGGAAATAATGAAGAGATCAAAGAGGAAATTATTCAACAAGATGTTTTTCAAAATGACACATTTTCAAATGTATTTTAGATTGTCCTAGCAGATGAACCAAAGGGCCAAGAGAGCAGTCGCCCTGGAGTTTAAGGCAGAAGCTTCAGGGTGTGTTATAACTGGTTTTTGTGACTAACTCAACTTTCCCACTTTAGAATATGATGTACAGAAGTCTCTCTCCCCCTCATTGGAATAATTGGGAAGGGAAAGGTGTAAAAAATCAGTCCTGTAGAATCCTGGATTTCATTTTTGAGAGATTAATCAAAAACAGGCTTTTTTTTTTAGAAAACAGAACTATCAATGAAACATAGTGGAAATTGACAAGTTACCAAATGACTGGGAAACAGTAACTTCCTAAAAATCCCTCCTTTTTTTGTTCTTCCAGTAGAATGTTAGCCTATCATTTTGAATTATGAGGACAATGGCCAATTGTCTTATATCTATACCCATCACTAGTAAGGGATACTTTTTTAAATGTAGGGTTTTACTATTTTCACTCAGTGATGAAATGAAGCTCCCTCTTGGTAAACGTACAGAATGAAATTTTTGGTTAATGGGAGGAGGGGAGGATTTTGTCTAATATTATAGGGGGAAAGGTACATTGATCCACTGAAGTTTACTTTGTATTCTCTTTTTGCCCATTTCATTTATTTTCTATTCTGAATTCTAACAAAGGAATAAGATTACATCTTATTATAATGAAATACAACATAAAGTAACAGCTAATAATTCTCAAATAGTAATTGACTTTCACATTTTAGGCTTTTGTGTATAGGACTGATTGAAAGAAAGTATTGGAGGATGAGTTCTGTAGTGGGGGCCACCCAAATCCAATTCACTATATCTGAAGTGTTGAGGAACTCTTACAGAAGTTTTCTTTTGTGTTGTCTGGATGTCATGTCATGATTTCAGCCAAGGAAATGATGAGGTTGGATCCCAGGGAGAGTCACTTGTGTATTTCTTGCTTCTCAGACTAACTGAAACTGAAGGACAACTACAGGAAATGTTGAATCACACAAAATGGTTTATTGTTATCTCTACGACTTGCATTAGTGAGATTAGAAGTTGCAAGTAAATTCTTGATCTGCTCTGCTTTTTCTGCCTTAGGCCAGCAGCAGAAGGAAGAGCATGCTCCTGTTGCATGCCCACTGACAAAAGGAGCAAAGCTTAAATAAAGGAAAACATGAGATCCGAGATTTTTTGATCTCTCTTAAGATTGGAGTGAGCTTATGGAACAATTATATTGGAGCACCCAAATGATGTGACTGAGGTTATCTTTCTGGAGGGGTGAAAAGGTCTGTGTGAACCACATTGCTTTTGGATCCAACTCTATAGAAAGAAAGGCAGACGATTAGGAGGGAAAGAAAAATCTCCTTTGAGGCGGAGGTTGAGTGACGAGAGACGCTCTTAGACGTCAGTTTGTTGTCCTCTATGTAGATAACAATATAGTTTTTGGATCTTTCAATCCATATTTAGCTCGGAATTGAAATCTCGGAATAATCTGTTTATAGAAAATAAAGCCATTTCTATTTGAAAACAAATGGAAAAAATAATTATTTCTCCCCAGATACGTACCTTTTAATTGATCAAATGCATCCAAGAAATTCTGCCGGCAATTTAAACACTCTGTAGGTGTTGTTGCTGCTCTAAATTTGTCTGCAAGAGGAATTGTAAATGGTATTTACCTTTTAATTAAACAAAGCATCTTGCAAATTAAACACATGTTCTTGCACATCAAAATTTAGTTAACATCC